GAAAACATTTATAGCATAAGCGAAAATGAAGGAATGAATTTAGCGAAATATTATTCACATTTGTATCAATAAATGTGAGGAGTGATGGGATTGAGAACCATTGCAGGATAGGACCGACAGGTACGAAAGCAAGGCCAAGGAGCTGAAGCTCAACCTTCAAAACCCTATTGATTAGTCACTACTAGGTTAGTACACAAACTCCTCTGTCTTCCGACGGTGGTGACGTCAGAGCAAAGTTGGCCAGTTTTTCTGCACATGTTGAGCTGATCAATTTCTGCAACCAGCCTCGCCACCAATCACACAGCGACTCTGCCCTCGTCTGTTGCTCCCACTGTAACCCAATCAGCGGCCAGGGAGCGGCAAGATGCACAGACCAACTAGCCAATGGCGGGTGAGGCCTAAGGCGGGGCTACAGGCCAGGGACATTCAACACGCTCGAAGGTGATAATCCCTCACCTTCTGTGGTTGACTACTTAATAACCCACTGCACTATGTGTCTATGTCAGGAGGAGCGGAATGTACGGATACTGGACACCACTGTAACACACTACAATCACGTGTGGTTGACTGCTCAGTAACCTTACTACACTCTGTGTAGCAGAATAGATCAGTAACCCTGTCTATGGAAGACTAAGAATATATATATATATATATATATATATATATATATATATATATATATATATATATATATATATATATATATATATATATATATATATATATATATATATATGTCGTACCTAGTAGCCAGAACGCACTTCTCGGCCTACTATGCCAGGCCCGATTTGCCTAATAAGCCAAGTTTTCCTGAATTATTATATTTTCTCAATTTTTTTTCTTATGAGATGGTAAAGCTACCCATTTCATTATGTATGAGGTCAATATTTTTTTATTGGAGTTAAATTAACGTAGATATATGACCGAACCTAACCAACCCTACCTAACCTAACCTAACCTATCTTTTTAGGTTAGGTTAGGTTAGGTAGCCGAAAAAGTTGGGTTAGGTTTGGTTAGGTTAGGTTAGGTAGTCGTTAAAAGGTTAGGTAGCCGAAAAAGTTGGGTTATTAAGGTTAGGTATCGAAAAACTTGGCTTATTAGACAAATCGGGCCTTGCATAGTAGGCAGAGAAGTGCGTTCTGGCTATTAGGTACGACATATATATATATATATATATATATATATATATATATATATATATATATATATATATATATATATATATATATATATATATATACTTCCTTTTCCTTTCTGGTTATGCCTTTTTGGCTGTATAGGCCTATTCATAACCTAAACCTTGGTGAGCGGGCTAGAAGGTCAAGAGGGCCGGGTCCGTAGGCCTATCACCATCATATTTCCATATGAATGGCAGCGGTGGCGAAGTGGTCTCGGGAAATCATACTATTTACAGGCAATTTGTCAGTCAACTAAAGTACCCTACGATGACTGGCCCACCCCCGGGCCCGTCCCTGGGCCCGTCCCCGGGCCCGTCCCCGGGCCCGTCCCTGGGCCCCTCCCTTGGCCCATCCCCGGGACCCTCCCCTCTGCCCCTCCACGGGACCCTCCCCTCTGCCCCTCCACGGGACCCTCCCCTCTGCCCCTCCACGGGACCCTCCCCTGTGCCCCTCCACGGGACCCTCCCCTGTGCCCCTCCACGGGACCCTCCCCTCTGCCCCCTCCACGGGACCCTCCCCTCTGCCCCTCCACGGGACCCTCCCCTCTGCCCCTCCACGGGACTCTCCCCTCTGCCCCTCCACGGGACCCTCCCCTCTGCCCCTCCACGGGACCCTCCCCTCTGCCCCTCCACGGGACCCTCCCCTGTGCCCCTCCACGGGACCCTCCCTGTGCCCCTCCACGGGACCCTCCCCTGTGCCCCTCCACGGGACCCTCCCCTGTGCCCCTCCACGGGACCCTCCCCTGTGCCCCTCCCCTGTGCCCCTCCACGGGACCCTCCCCTGTGCCCCTCCACGGGACCCTCCCCTCTGCCCCCTCCACGGGACCCTCCCCTCTGCCCCCTCCACGGAACCCTCCCCTCTGCCCCTCCACGGGACCCTCCCCTGTGCCCCTCCACGGGACCCTCCCCTGTGCCCCTCCACGGGACCCTCCCCTCTGCCCCCTCCACGGGACCCTCCCCTGTGCCCCTCCACGGGACCCTCCCCTGTGCCCCTCCAAGGGACCCTCCCCTCTGCCCCCTCCACGGGACCCTCCCCTGTGCCCCTCCAAGGGACCCTCCCCTCTGCCCCTCCAAGGGACCCTCCCCTGTGTTTAGTGTGTGTATACAGTACTTGGAATGACGGAGCACACGTCACAAAGGTACTCACAGTCCACTTTCTACCTCAACTTGGCATCGAAGCTTGAACGAAGCTGATATATGCGTCCGCGCACCCCCGATTGAGAAAAAAAATGAGCACAGGAATGTGTGAGGCTGTTGGTTGAGGTCTGGAGGACCCCCCGCGGGGCTCGTCCGGCGCTGCCTCACATAATGCTAATGAGGCGCCCATTAAGCCCGGAATTAACGTGATTTATGATACGAAACATTCGGGGGCAGGCGTAGCTTTTGGTCGCTATCGTGGAAGCCTCGCATGAGCCTGGGAACGCTCTAATGGGACAGACCAATTGGTTACAAAAAAATCCAATGTGCCTATAAGAGTGATGGCCAGGAGTCATGGGGCGTCGGTCGCGACAGAGACATAGACCGCAGCGGCAACAACGGGCTGGCGGGAAGTCTTGGCGGGAAGTGAAAGCAAAGTATGACAACATAATAAATTACATCACAAGTGATTTGTATATATAATTCTAGCCAAGGCGACGCCACAGTCAGTCCATCAGGTGTCCGCCTGCACAGAGCCCGCTATGTTGGTCTAGTTGCAACGGCTTTGTTTGCAATTTGTAAACAATTTACCAGCTTGGAAATTTCACAATCCAAATGTTATTATTGTTACACTAAAATGTCCTCAGGCCAGGCTCGTTAACCCAAGACTCATTCACAAATGTTAACGTACTGTGTTTTAAAAATAGGGTTGTTCTAGTAAAGAAATTAACATTAATCGATATTAAAGTTCTATGTATAGTTACGCGTAGGTTAGGTTAGGTGTTTAGGTTCTGTTGGCGATTATTTACATTCGAAGTACGTGGATGAAGAATTTATAGAGTTGTGATTCGAACAGAGGTCGTCAGAGAAACACGGTTCGAGAAATATTCGAACATCATCTGTTGCGAGTCATGTGCAAACCGTATTTCCTTCCTAAACACAGCCCGTGGCTGTGTTTAGGAAACAAAGGCCAAATGCTCACTAATGGTCAACAAAGGCCAAATGCTCGCTAATCCATCAGCCAAACTTCCCTATTTATGAATGGTATACAGTTTACACCCAACTCACAATTGATGATTTTCGAACATTTCCCGAACAGCGCGTCGTTGACAACCTCTGTTCGAATCGCAACTCTGTAAATGCTTCACACGCGCACTTCAAATACAAATAATCGCCGACAGAACCTAAACACCTTACCTAACCTAACCTACGCCTAACTATACACAGAACTTTAATATATAATAATATGCACTTGTATATGAGATCAAACGTATTGGAAATAAACTACTATACGTTAAAATTGATGAATGTGTTTTTGGGGGTCGGTCACCGCTTTAACGAGCCTGGCCTAACGACAGGTTCTCAACCCCAGTGGTCCTCTAGGTCGTTGTCAACCCCAGTGGTCCTCTAGGTCGTTGTCAACCCCAGTGGTCCTCTAGGTCGTTGTCAACCCCAGTGGTCCTCTAGGTCGTTGTCAACCCCAGTGGTCCTCTAGGTCGTTGTCAACCCCAGTGGTCCGCTAGGTCGTTGTCAACCCCAGTGGTCCTCTAGGTCGTTGTCAACCCCAGTGGTCCTCTAGGTCGTTGTCAACCCCAGTGACCCTCTAGGTCGTTGTCAACCCCAGTGGTCCTCTAGGTCGTTGTCAACCCCAGTGGTCCTCTAGGTCGTTGTCAACCCCAGTGGTCCTCTAGGTCGTTGTCAACCCCAGTGGTCCTCTAGGTCGTTGTCAACCCCAGTGGCCCTCTAGGTCGTTGTCAACCCCAGTGGCCCTCTAGGTCGTTGTCAACCCCAGTGGTCCTCTAGGTCGTTGTCAACCCCAGTGGTCCTCTAGGTCGTTGTCAACCCCAGTGGCCCTCTAGGTCGTTGTCAACCCCAGTGACCCTCTAGGTCGTTGTCAACCCCAGTGGCCCTCTAGGTCGTTGTCAACCCCAGTGGCCCTCTAGGTCGTTGTCAACCCCAGTGACCCTCTAGGTCGTTGTCAACCCCAGTGGTCCTCTAGGTCGTTGTCAACCCCAGTGGTCCTCTAGGTCGTTGTCAACCCCAGTGGCCCTCTAGGTCGTTGTCAACCCCAGTGACCCTCTAGGTCGTTGTCAACCCCAGTGGTCCTCTAGGTCGTTGTCAACCCCAGTGGCCCTCTAGGTCGTTGTCAACCCCAGTGACCCTCTAGGTCGTTGTCAACCCCAGTGGTCCTCTAGGTCGTTGTCAACCCCAGTGGTCCTCTAGGTCGTTGTCAACCCCAGTGGCCCTCTAGGTCGTTGTCAACCCCAGTGGTCCTCTAGGTCGTTGTCAACCTCAGTGGCCCTCTAGGTCGTTGTCAACCCCAGTGGTCCTCTAGGTCGTTGTCAACCCCAGTGGTCCTCTAGGTCGTTGTCAACCCCAGTGGTCCTCTAGGTCGTACCACCACCATCGTGCACGACAACGAAGGACGGAGGGGGAAACTATCAGGCGCAAGCAGCACGCCAATACGACTATATAACATTGGGAAGGGATCAGGATAAAGATTTGGGATGGGACGGGGGAAGGAATGGTGCCTAACCACTTGTGGACGGTCGGGGATTGAACGCCGACCTGCATGAAGCGAGACCGTCGCTCTACCGTCCAGTTTTTTCAGGGGCTGACGGAAGTGGTAATCAGCTTATCACGGATCAAACATCCATCCTGTGTGTCGCGAAGGCAGGTTTCCGTTACATAATGAGAACAGGCACTCGACCACAATGATTTTCTAAATAAGTTAGCGTAGAGAGGCTACAGCCACAAGCGGGACACACCAGCCGGACCTCACTGCTCGTCTTGCTAACAGGTTAGTGATACAAAATGTGTGTCGACATATACTAGTGTACATATAATATATATATGTACACTGTATAATGTATATATATATATATATATATATATATATATATATATATATATATATATATATATATATATATATATATATATATATATATATATATATATATATATATATATATATATATATATATATATATATATATATATATATATATATATATATATATATATATGTCGTACCTAGTAGCCAGAACTCACTTTTCAGCCTACTATGCGAGGCCCAATTTGCCTAATAAGCCAAGTTTTCCTGAATTAATATATTTTCTCTAATTTTTTTCTTATGAAATGATAAAGCTACCCATTTCATTATGTTTGAGGTCAATTGTTTTTTATTGGAGATAAAATTAAAGTAGATATATGACCGAACCTAACCAACCCTACCTAACCTAACCTAACCTATCTTTATAGGTTAGGTTAGGTTAGGTAGCCGAAAAAGTTAGGTTAGGTTTGGTTAGGTAGGTTAGGTAGTCGAAAAACAATTAATTCATGAAAACTTGGCTTATTAGGCAAATCGGGCCTTGCATAGTAGGCTGAGAAGTGAGTTCTGGCTACTAGGTACGACATATATATATATATATATATATATATATATATATATATATATATATATATATATATATATATATATATATATATATATATCGTATCTAGTAGCCAGAATACATTTCTTGGTCTACTATGCAAGGCCCGATTTGCCTAATAGGCCGAGTGATTTTCATTATTTTCAATAAATTGTTTCAACTTAGTTTATTTGAATTATTATTATTATATTATATTAGGAACATAAATTATTGACTTAGTTGTTAGTTTAGGTTAGGTTTAGATAGGTTAGGTTAGGTAAGGTTGGTAAGGTTAGGTTAAGTTAGGTAAGGTTGGTAAGGTTAGGTTAAGTTAGGTTAGGTAAGGTTAGGTTAGGTTTAGATAGGTTAGGTTAGGTAAGGTTGGTAAGGTTAGGTTAAGTTAGGTTAGGTAAGGTTGGTAAGGTTCGGTCACATATGTAAGTTAGTGTTAACTCAAATCTCAACAAATTAACTTATAAATAATGAAATGGACAGATTTCTCATTTCAATAAGAAAAAATGAGAAAAATATATAAATTCAGGAAAACTTGGCTTATTAGGCAAATCGGGCCTTGCATAGTAGGCCGAGTACGACCTACTCCAGTAGGTCGTACCAGGACCACAGTTCTTTTTCCATTTGCTGTCAGTGTCCAAATGATGGAGTCTGTGTGTACGTTTTCACTCTGATTCTTGAGTTCTTAAAATTTCCACTCCCGTTTTACTATGAGGGCAACTCTACCTCCTTGACTTTGTTGTCATTCTTTTCATATCACTTGGACCCCTTCCTTGTGGGAATATTGCATCAGAGATCATATCATTTATTTTCATTTCCACTATTCCAATCATATCTGGGACACTTTCACTTATTACTTTAATTTCCTCGGCTTTGTTCCTAACTCCGTCAGCGTTCGTGTACCAAGTCTTCAGGCTCTTCCTGGAGAGACTTCAGTGTCAGGAAGTCCGGGGGGTGAGAGGGGGTCAGGGAGAGTGCGTACTCACCTAGTTGTGTTTGCGGGGGTTGAGCTCTGGCTCTTTGGTCCAACCTCTCAACCGTCAATCAACTTATGTACAGATTCCTGAGCCTACTGGGCTCTATCATATCTACATTTTGAAACTGTGTATGGAGTCAGCCTCCATCACATCACTTCCTAGTGCATTCCATCTGTTAACTACTCTGACATTGAAAAGGTTCTTTATAACGTCCCTGTGGCTCATTTGGGTACTCAGTCTCCACCTGTGTCCCCTTGTTCGCGTATGATCTGCTGTGTGTGTGTGTGTGTGTGTGTGTGTGTGTGTGTGTGTGTGTGTGTGTGTGTGTGTGTGTGTGTGTGTGTGTGTGTGTGTGTGTGTGTGTGTGCTTGCTTGCTTGCAGTGGGAGGAAATCCAACATCTGGCAGCAACATTTTACCTACCATCGTAAAAAAAGAAAGAAAATAATGTTATCGAACCGGACACTGATATTGAGATACACTTAAATTGGCTCATAAGATAAATTTGGAATTGTGTACATATGTCATAGTCTGTTAGTCCCTGAACCTGATAGTCTGTTAGTCCCTGAACCTGATAGTCTGTTAGTTCCTGAACCTGATAGTCTGTTAGTCCCTGAACCTGATAGTCTGTTAGTCCCTGAACCTGATAGTCTGTTAGTCCCTGAACCTGATAGTCTGTTAGTCCCTGAACCTGATAGTCTGTTAGTCCCTGAACCTGATAGTCTGTTAGTCCCTGAACCTGATAGTCTGTTAGTTCCTGAACCTGATAGTGAGTCAGTAGTGTGTGTCAGGGGAGGTGGGTCAGGGGGCCGTGTCTGGGAGGTGGGTCAGGGGGCCGTGTCTGGGGAGGTGGGTCAGGGACCGTGTCTGGGGAGGTGGGTCAGGGACCCAGTCTGGGGAGGTGGGTCAGGGGGCCGTGTCCTGGGAGTGGGTCAGGGGGGGGCCGTGTCTGGGGAGGTGGGTCAGGGGGGCCGTGTCTGGGGAGGTGGGTCAGGGGGCCGTGTCTGGGGAGGTGGGTCAGGGAGGCCGTGTCTGGGGAGGTGGGTCAGGGGGGCCGTGTCTGGGGAGGTGGGTCAGGGGGGCCGTGTCTGGGGAGGTGGGTCAGGGACCCAGTCTGGGGAGGTGGGTCAGGGGGCCGTGTCTGGGGAGGTGGGTCAGGGGGGGCCGTGTCTGGGGAGGTGGGTCAGGGGGGCCGTGTCTGGGGAGGTGGGTCAGGGGGGCCGTGTCTGGGGAGGTGGGTCAGGGGGGCCGTGTCTGGGGAGGTGGGTCAGGGGGGCCGTGTCTGGGGAGGTGGGTCAGGGGGGCCGTGTCTGGGGAGGTGGGTCAGGGGGGCCGTGTCTGGGGAGGTGGGTCAGGGGCCGTGTCTGGGGAGGTGGGTCAGGGGGGCCGTGTCTGGGGAGGTGGGTCAGGGGGGCCGTGTCTGGGGAGGTGGGTCAGGGGGACGTGTCTGGGGAGGTGGGTCAGGGGGCCGTGTCTGGGGAGGTGGGTCAGGGGGGCCGTGTCTGGGGAGGTGGGTCAGGGGCCGTATCTGGGGAGGTGGGTCAGGGGCCGTCTCTAGCCCCGCCTTTGGCCTCGCTTCCGTCTCTCTCATTGGCTAGTTGGTCTGTGCATCTTGCCGCTCCCTGGCCGCTGATTGGGTTACAGTGGGAGCAACAGACGAGGGCAGAGTCGCTGTGTGATTGGTGGCGAGGCTGGTTGCAGAAATTGTTCAGCTCAACATGTGCAGAAAAACTGGCCAACTTTGCTCTGACGTCACCACCGGTCTTGGCTGCTCTAACCTATCTCTGCTTACCTACCAGTGCTTCTCTTTCCCTGATTACCTTTATTTTATTTTTACTTTCGTGTATTCGAGTCCTTTGTCTTGTCGGCTCTTCAAGTTGAATGTTGGTTTTGTGAGGTTTTATTTCAGTGTATCCCTTCTTGATGAGCAGCCGTATAGGGTATGGGTATTTCCTGAAGTTTCCTTCACCCATTGGTGTTTACAGCCTCTCAGCTATATCTCCTTGTCTCATTATTTCTGAGTATACAGAGGTTGTCCTTGCTCATCTTTAATTATCCCATCAGTATTTTGTATATAGTGATCATATACTCTCTGCTGGTCTCCCCTGGCTATACGAAAGTGAGTTACAATAATCTCTCCCGAAACATAATCTTCTTAATTCGTGCACTAGACTTGTGCTACAGTCTTCCCTTTCCTTTGATGCTTGAAGCAAATCTCTGTACATAATCAAGTATTATTTTACTTCAAGAGCTGCAGATTTCATGCCTGCGCTGCATATTCTAATATTGATCTCACATAGGCTGTGTAGATTATCTAGAAAAAGTCCCTATTCAGGTTATTAAATGCTGATCTTATGTTTGCCAGTTTCCCATATGCTGCTGATGTGACCCTGTTTAGGTGTGCCTCTGGTGTTAGTGATGGTTTGTCATTAACTCTCAACATCGCCTGTGGCCTGTGGCTGTGGCCTGTGGCTGTGGCCTGTGACTTATGACCTGTGACCTGTAACTTATGACTTGTGGCCTGTGACTTATGACCTGTGACTTATGACCAGTGACCTGTGGCCTGCGACTTGTGATCTGTGACCTATGACCTGTGACCTTTTGCCTGTGACCCGTGACCTATGACCTTTGACCCGTGACCTGTGTCTTATGACCTGTGGCCTGTGACCTATGACCTGTGATCTGTAGCCTGTGACCTATGACCTATGACCTGTGACCCGTGACCTGTAGCCTGTGGCCTATAACCTGTGACCCGTGGCCTGTTGCCTGTGGCGTCTGACCCGTGACCTGTGGTCTATGACCTGTGACACGTGGCCTGTGACCTGTGACCCGTGACCTGTAGCCTGTGACCTATGACCTGTGGCCTGTGACCCGTCACACGTCAACATCAGTTCATAAATGGCCTCCTCACGGAGTCAAATGCAGTATTTGGAGCTTTCACAGAAACCCATGCAGGGGAATTGATGGACAGTGAGATCTGGATTCCAGGATATAACCTATATAGGTGTGATAGGAAAATTAGGTCACATGGAGGAGTGGGTCTGTATATTAGGGAAGACCTTGTATGCTCGGAGCTCCTAAACGTTACAAATGAGGTGGTAGAGGTACTGGGATTAAAAATAGAGAGAAAAAAAATTGTGATTATACTAATATACAAACCGCCAGATGCAACGGCTGAGGAATTCACAGAACAAATAAGCAAAATAGAGAATAGCCTTGATAATTTGGAGAACCCGATACCTGATATTATCTTCCTAGGTGACTTCAACTTGCCTAGTCTCAGGTGGAAAATAGCAAACAATAATATTATACCAGGAAATCTATCAGGACCTAACCAACCACAGATTAGAGAACTACTTAGATTCTGTGACAAATTTTCACTCAATCAGCAGATAT